ACTGGGCCAGAGACAAACACGTGGACCTCCCCAGAAAGAGACGCACCACCCTCCCCACCGTGGAAGGACAGACCACCACTCCCAGAAGAACTGACAGCGACTTGCCGCCTCCCAGCCAGTCCAGATCCAGAGGCCGCCTGATGCTGCTGGAGCTGGGAGGTGCCTCTTTCTCACGCTCTCTGTCACTCTCTCCTCCGCCCAGCCATTTCCTCTGCCTCGGAGGAGGGGGTGGCTGGGAGTGACATCCCAGAAAGGGTGGGAGGAAGAAGAGCCCCTGCCCAGGATCTCAGTGGGCAGATTTCAGAAGGGGACAGCTGATCCTCCTCACCCTGGAGGCCCAGACCGGCTAAAGGGTCAACAGGCAGGGTGCCGGCTACCCAGCCAGGCTGGTCACGGTCAGGAGCTCCCAGCCTGACGTCAGTCCCACTCATTGTTGTTGCTGGGGCTTGAGTCATTCCTGTGACACCATAGAGGTCAGCTCTGGAGTGGCTGGGGGTGGCCTGCAGGGCCAGCTTCAGGGATCAGCTCTCCCCTGGGACATGCACTAGGATGGGTGGGGCCATCCGAGGCCACACTCACCGTGCAAAGCCAGCTGCCTACTCCCAAGGTCTCACGTTGGCCTTCAAGGTCCCTCCACAGACCTTTGCTGCAGGCCTGGCTCAGAAGGCCTCAGCCAGTTGCCCATTTGCCTGGCGGCCATGGCTCTGGCCGAGAAGTCCTCGCCTCTCCTGCCTCAGAACTCGCAGTTCTATCCTCAGTCCTCAGTGAGACCTTTCCCTCCAACTCTTTTCTTTCCTCTTTCCCAGGAAGCCTCCCCAGAATAATTCACTGTAGCCTCACTTCTTTCTGGAATCCTCTTCCCGCCCGTCTCCACAGGCTGCTCTCCTGCGTTCTCTGCAGCTGTCCTGGTCACCTCCCAACCTGCTGAGAGCATGGCTGGGGACTCGTCACCACTCCAAATGTGCCACTCTCTGTCCAGGCCGCAGGCATCCCTCTGGAATGACAGCAGAGCCTCCATGCTGGCCCCATCCAGCCCTGCAAATCCTGCTCCCATTAGCCCTGGCTGGTGTGCTCAGTGGTTAGAACATCGGCCTGTGCACTGGAGGGTTGCAGGTTCCATTTCTGGTCAAGGACATATACCTGGGTTGCAGGTTCAGCCCCAGTTGGGGTGTAGGAGGGAGGAAACTAATCGATGTCTCCCCCTCTCTCCCTTCCACTTTCTAAAAAAAAAACAATGGAAAAAATCAAGTGAGGATTAACCAAAACAACAACAACAACAACAAAACAAAACCCTGCTGCCATTTCTTTCATACCACGTGTGCTCTCTTGCTCAGGTATATCTCCTAGTCCATCTCCTCTGTAAGGCTCTGAGCTCCCAGAGGCCAGGGTTGGGACTTTTCCACCTTGGTATGATACGGGCCTAGCGTGTGGGCAGTTATATATGTGTGGCATGAATGAATGAATGAATGAATGAATGAATGAACAATTACCTCTTGATCATTAGGGGTATTGGCGTAGGATGGAAGGGTTGGATGGAAGGATTTGTTCCACATAGTCTCTCTATTTTGACCTAGACCTTCCTTCCTTGTCAGGAACACCCACATGGGTGTAGGACCCAGGAGTGAGGTGCAGTGAGAATCACCCTATAAGGATTCAGGGAGGTAAGAGGAGACAAGTCTTGGCCAGCATCTGGGCCTGAGATGAGAAAGGTGAGAGGGTTCGGCCTCACCCGCAGGCAAGAAAGGCTCCATGGATGGCGGGTTTGGAGTAGGGGCTAGAATGGGTGAAAGAGCTGGTGGAATGAGGAGAGAGCAGCTGTGTGGCCTTGGCAAGGGTATTAGTCAGGGTTTCCAGAGGAGCAGAACTCGGCAGGATATAGATATTTATTACGAGGAATTGGCTCATGTGAGTATGAGGATGACAAGTCCTAAGATCTGTAGCCAGCGAGCTGGAGACCCAGGAGGGCTGTGGTGCAGCTCCAAGTGCTAGGAGCCTCAAGACCTAGAAGAGCAGATACTTCACTTCAAGTTTGAAGGCAGGAGAAAGAAACCAGTGTCCCAATTTGGAAGCTGTTAGGCAGGAGGAGTTCTCACTCATTCAAGGGTCAGGCCTTTTATTCTATTCAGGATGATTGCATGAGGCCATCCTCATTAGGGAAAGTAATCTACTTTTCTTAGTCTCGGGGTTCAAATGTTAATCTCATCCAGAAACCCCCTTATAGACGCATCCAGAATAACGTTTGACCAAATATCTGGACATTCTGTGGCACAGTCAAGTTGACAAATAAAATTAGTCATTAAAGCAAGTTACTACATATCCCTGACCATAAGCCTCAGCTTCATTATGTGTAAGTTGAGGGGAAATGATATTTCCCTTCAAAGGTGGTTGGAGAAATCAACACATAGCACATGTGAAGTAAGGCATGGTGCCTAGTAAGGCTCAGTGGCTGGTAGTAGGGATGATGATGATGTCAGGATAGTGGCCCTGAGTCAGAGGTCGGGAGAGGTCAGTCACTCCCCTCACTCACTGCAGTGTCTGGAAATTAGGCTCCCCAGGGTTCCTCCCCTGGGGTTCCAACCTCCCAGGGTCCCCATCCTTTGGCTCCTCACAGACCCTTCTCTCTTAATATTTTATCTTGTTTCCCTGCAGGTTAAGTCCAGGCTCCAGAAAAGGTTGCTGGTGTGTACGGCAGGCAGCTTTGTCCTTCCCCAGGCCCTGGGGGTACTTGGACGCTGCCTGGGGAGAGGTATCTGCAGCTGGGACAGACACAAACCAGAGACCAAGGCTGCACAGGGCAGAGCTACGGGAAGGAAGGGGAAAGGGAATAGATTGTGTGGGGAGGTCAGCCAGAAGACTGGCTTGAGTAGGGGGTTTGTAAGAAAGGGTGAAAGGGGAAGCCTAAAGGTGACAGTGGTATGCCAGCTGGTACTGATGATCAAAGTGTAATCCTTCATTCATTCTGGACTTCACATTCAGTGATGGCCTATAGCTTGAAATTGGCCATAATAGCCCAGTCGGTGTGGCTCAGTGGACTGAGAGTTCCCAGTTTGATTTCCAGTCAGGACACATGCCCAGGTTGCCGGCTCCATCCCCAGTAGGGGGCGTGCAGGAAACAACTGATGGATGTTGCTCTCTCATATCAATGTTTCTCTCTCTCTCCCTCCCCCACTCTCTAAAAAATCAATGAAAACATATTTTTTAAAAAAATGGAAAGTGGGCCTGGCCCATGTGACTCACTGGTTGAGCATCAACCCATGCACTAAGAGGTTGCTTGTTCGATTCCCAGTCAGAGCACATGCCCAGGTTGTGGGCCCAATACCCAGTTGAGGGCATGCAGGAGGTGGCCAATCGATGTTCTCTCTCATCAATGTTTCTATATCTCTCTCCTTCTCCCTTCCTCTCTCTCTCTCTCTCTCTCTCTTTTTTTTGATACATGCCCCTAGCGGGAACTGAACCCGAGACTCTCTGGTCCGCAGGCCAACGCTTCAACTGCTGAGCCAAACTGGCCAGGGCTCTTTTCTTTTTTTGGGGGGGTATGTGCCCCTAGTGGGAACTGAACCCAGGACTCTCTGGTCCACTGGCCAATGCGCCAACCACTGAGCCAAACCGGCCAGGGCTAAACCTCTCTTAATAAAGAAAAAAAATTAAAAAAAAAAAAAGTGGTTGTAGTAGAAAATTGGCAAATGCTACTAATCAAGGCATTTCTCCACCAGAGAGCAGGTGTTGGGGGCGGTATATTGGACTGTGGTAGTGCACAGGAGGTCAGGGTGGAGAAACCAGAAAGAAAACATCTGTAGTGGTAAGGAATCCTGTATTTGAATCCCAGGCTCTGTCATTTACCCAGTGACTTTGCACAAGTTACTTAACCTCTCCCAGTGTCAATTTATCTCGTTAAATTAATTACCATATATGCATCACTTAGAATCATGCCCTTTCCATTCCATTCAGTATATGTTATATATTTTTTATTTTGGAAGAGAAAGTGCGTGCTAGGAAAATGAGCATCTTAATCCCCAAGTAAACAACTCAGGAGTCCTTCTGTTGGCGTTGGGGGCATGCCAGGTTCTGTGGGCATTAACAGAGCAACTGAGAAACCCCTGTCTGCCCTGGACATACAATCTACTTGGAGAACAAAACATGCTCCCAGGAAGTTACACAGCACGAAAAATACACTCATATTCATATAACACTTTACAGTGTACAAAGGTTTTTCATATGAATTATTTCTTGTAATCCTCACAACAGCTCCCCGTTTAGAGGAGGAAATCAGGATGAGTGACCTCAAGAGGCACACACAGAGGCAATGGCAGAATCACCAGCCTTACACGGACTGTTACCAGAGGTCAAGCACCAAGCAGTGCTTCTGTATGATGACAGAGTAAGGTCAAGTCCCTTTCTCCAGCCTCTTTGTGGGGCCAGGGATCCTGTCTTTTATGCACTGGAAAAGCTCAAGTTTTGCCACCCACCCAGCGTCATGCAGAAAACTGGCCCGGGCTCATCTCCAGGGCATCTCTCCAATCAGCATGCTCCTCATCTTGGGGAATCGGTGCCCCTTCCTGGCCTCTGAGGCCAGAGTTAGGGACCCTATCTCCCTGCTAGGGGCTGGCTCGCCGCGGACGACTCCTCTCAGCCTAGGGAGGCAGCACAGAGCTCATCGGCCTCTCCTTCCCTCTGATCTCTATGGCGGAAGTGAGTCGTTCCGTCCGAAGCACAACAACATTCTCGGTGGTGGGAGTGAATGGAGTCGTCCAAATGAGGGGGATACTGCTCACCGTCAAATGGTAACATCCGAAAGATAATAAAGAAAAAGGTAGCATACGAATTAAAGAGCAGTATGTGACTACCTTTGTCCCCCCGCGTGAACGGAAGGCGGTCTGGGCCGCTGCACCTGTGCCAAGGCTCGGCCAGCCGTGCCCGCCCCGCCGGTGGCCGCTGGGGCAGGTGGAGCCGTCCGGCTCGCAGGGGCGGGGCACGGGTTTCCGGGGCCGGCGTCGCCTCCCGCCGCGGTGGTCTGGTGCCGGGGAGCGTGGTGGCGTGGCCCGCGGGTCCGGGCGCGGGTCCGGGGAGGTAGGGCGCCGTCCTGACCGCCTGCCCCCCTCTCCTGGGCGAGCGCGGGGGTTCCCTGAGCCGGCCGGAGGGAGGGCGCGCCCCGAACTCCCGAGCCCGGCCAGGTGGGGCGCGGGGCGCCGCCCCCGAGACCTCTGCGGAGTCAGCTCCACCTCTGGAACCCGAACTTGGAGGTTCTGGGGGAGTGGCGGTGGACAAAACGGGACCCAGGCGGGAAATGTTTCTGAATGCGGCTGTCTCTCTGGATACCCAGCCGAATGCTTTCTGTTTTTGCTTTTAGTCCTTCTCTTGCGCTCGGCGGACGGCGGACCTGCGGAGATCCTACTTGGGCGTGAGGAGGAGGAGGAAGGGGATGATCAGAGCCTGAGTGACCCTGCTTCAGCCTATCGCGTAAGGTGGGCATGGGGGTGCCCTCGGCTCCAGCCTGGCTCCGAGAAGGCATCTGTCAGTCTCCGCCCTGGGCTCTGCAGACCTGGGCCTAGGGCGACCCGAGAGATGAGACTTCCCAGGCCTTGCTTTGGAGATTCCCTGCTCAGCGCGGGGTGAGGGCGAGGGCGAGGGCGAGGGCGAGGGCACGGGCACAGACAAGCGCACCACAGACCAAAGGTGGGAAGGAGGCTGGAGTTGGTCAGTACTGATTTCCTGGAGAAATGAAGCCTAGAATGGCACTGAGAACGAGGGAAGAGCCTGGGCTTGGGACAGAAGTGGAGATGTATGGGCTGTTTGAAGGTTTGTGGGGGACACCACAGGGGCACGTTGTGGAAGAAAGGGGAACTGGACCTGAGCTGGGAGTCTCTAGATGGGAAAGTGCTGGATGGAGTTAAACTAGAGGGCCGGAATGAACAAGAGAGCCCTGCTCATCCTCGATCCGAGAGTGTAGGAGAAACCAATCCAGCAACCCTTGGAAAGACTTGGACTTCCCGGGTCAGGATGAATTGAGCAGTAACTGTGCTAGGTTCCAGGTATGGAGTTTCTGGTGATGAATATGAGAGTCCCTGCCCTTAAGGAACTGTCTGTCTAGTGGGAGAGACAGGACAGGATAACCAACTATGACTCGTAGTACAAGTGGACCAGGGCCTTATGGTCAGGTGAGAGGCAGAGCGTTTGACTTCTGATTGCTGCCCTGTGTGTTCACTGGTGAGCACCACTGTTAAAGGGGGACAGAGACAAGCTGAGATACACTAAAAAAAGATCTGTCAGGCCCTGGCCAGTTTGCTCAGTGGTTAGAGCATTGGCCCTCGAACTGAAGGGTCACCAGTTCCATTCTGGTCAAGGGCACATACCTGGGTTGCAGGTTCCATCCTGGGCCCTGGTCAGTTCGTGGGGGAGGCAACCAATCGATGTCTCTCTCTCCCTCCCTCTCCACCCCCCCTAAAATCAGTGTAAAAGTATTCTCAGGTGAGGATTAACAAAAAAAGAAAAAAACCTGTTACGACCCTGAGGAGATAAGATGTGAAGGTCCAGTTGGCATGTTTATGGGGAATGGACATCTTTAACCTGTAGAAGGGGTGAGGGGGTGATGCAAAAGAGTTGCCTCTAAATATCTGAAAGGCTTGTTTGTGGGAAAAGGGTGAGATTTATTCTGTGTGGCTCCTGATACCAAAATCAAGGCTAGTGGTTTGAAGCACTAAGAGACTGCTTCAGTAGAGCTGTCTAAAGATGGGATGATGTGCTGGGAGAGGTACTGAATTCCCTGTCAGGGAGGTTTTGGTTTTTTTTTTTTTTTTTTTTTTTATATAATAGTCTCTTTTAATATAAACAATTGCTGGAATCAATCAATGTCCATTTCAGGAAGCTTCTTGTCTGAATCCGAAGGCACAGCTGTGTCTGCACCCTGCTCGGCAGCCTGAGGGCCTGGGCTGTCTCCTTGTCCGTCCACTGGTCCATTCTGCTCTGCATTTTTTTGCTCCTCATCAGGGAGGTTTTTAAGCTGAACACTCTCTAAGAAACTTGACTGTTCCCTCTCCCTCCCTCAGATTCAATTACTTACTAAGTTCTGGTTCTCAAGTATGTTCTTTTCTTGCCACTCTCTCTGCTAGTGCAGTCATCTTGCAGCAGTTACAATATAACTATAGCCGCTGATACTGCGTGTTCACTGCTTGCCAGGTACTACTTTAAGTGCCTTAGGGCTGCTAACTCAGCTATTCCCCCAGACAACCCTTTTAAGGTAGCTATTGATAATATCCCCTTTTTATAGATTGGGGAAACTAAGGCACACAGGAGCTAAGCAGCTTGCCCAAGAGCACACAGTGAGCCGTTGGCAGAGCTGGGGTTCCAACCCAGGCTGTCTGGCTTTAGAGTTACTTTCTTAACCACTATTCTGCTGTGTTTTACATGTGTTGTTTTCCTTAATCCTCACAACCTTCCAAATTTGTGGATAAGAAAACAGACTCAGAGAGCTTGTGTGATTTGCTTAAGGTCACAGCAAGATATGGGAGAGCTGGGATTCAAACCCAGGACCGCTGGACATGAAAGCCCCCACTCTTCCCTTCATTCCCCCCATATCCATTTTATTGAGTCTGTAGCTGCCACTGCTGTATTGGCCTCTAGGTGGATCCCTGGCCAGCCTTTCTGCTTTAAATTGGCAAGTTTTTACCCCAGAGCCTGTGGATGGCCCTGGAAATAAGCGAGATTTGGTGTGTATGTGCATGGGCCAGTCAGGTTTTAAAGCCGAGTCTTAGCTGCCATGGACTTCTCAGAGCATTTTGTGACCCCCAAATAGTGAAGAACCCGAGTTAACTTTCTGATGCACAGGCTTGATCTTGGCACAGTGATGCGTCGACTCTTCACTGCCCTCAGGATAGAGTCCAAATCCTTAACCTGGTCATTCAAGGTCCCAGGAAGTCAGACTTCCTGTTTCTACTCCCACCTCGTATTCTCACTGCTGTGGTGACATTTGCTTGCATGTCTTTCTCCACCTTGGCAGCGTCTCACAGGCAGTGGCCATGTTTGCCTTTAATGGCCAGTGCCTGGCAGGTGTTGCACAGTGAGCGTGGTGACCTGCACTGAGTACCACAAGGGAATTCCAGCCTCGGCAGGTTGTTTGCCTGATAGCTTTGACGCTCTTCCCCTTTGAGACCTCAGTAGTCTAAGATTCTCTGCTAGTGGGTGCTGCCGAAATGCAGAGCTAGGCTGTGGAGGCAGGGGCCTGGCTGGGTCTGGAGGGATGTGAACAGAGAATATACAGATCATTCAGAAGGTGTCAGCATTCCGACCTGGCTCCTCTTGCAGGGCAGCCCCTGGGTGGGGTGAAACTCTCTGTCTTTACTCCTGTCCCCACCCTTGTTGTGGGCCACTGGCTGCAGGATGAACTGTCGTTCGGAGGTGCTGGAGGTGTCCGTGGAGGGGCGGCAGGTGGAGGAGGCCATGCTGGCTGTGCTGCACACGGTGCTCCTGCACCGCAGCACGGGCAAGTTCCACTACAAGAAGGAGGGCACCTACTCCATCGGCACCGTGGGCACCCAGGATGTCGATTGTGACTTCATCGATTTCACCTACGTGCGAGTCTCCTCTGAGGAGCTGGACCGTGCCCTGCGCAAGGTTGTTGGGGAATTCAAGGTAGAGTGTGACAGTCCCTTCAGGACTCGAGGGAAGCATCCTTACCTACTAGGTTGGCTGTAAATAACTGAGATGGAAAGGGCGGGGCCAGGGCTGCCCCAGGAGGAGTGTGGAGGTCACCACACACCACGGGGGTGGGAGGAGCATGGACAGAATTATTGGACCAGATGATCCCATTTGCTTCTCAGATGAGAAGAGGGAGAGGGAGCCAAGCCTGATCCCTCCTTCCACTCCCTTCCATCTTCAGTTCCTTGGCTTCCTTCTTTCTAATCAAGGATCACTGGGCTTTATAGTCCCTCCGCCTTTTCTTTAGAGACAATGAGTTTAGGTTGTCATTGAGCGAATAAAAGGGAGGGATTGTGTTTAGCTGGCGGTGGAGAAGGCAGATAGGATTTACCTGGGGAGTAGAGTAGGCGATGTTGGAGTACATTTTGAAGGATGGGGCCAAAGAGGTGAGGTTGTGGCAGGAGGAGGAAGGCCCTTCAGGTAAAGGTGAAAAGCAAAGATTTTGAAATCAGACAATCTGTTGCAGTCATTCACTGGCCGGTGCCTTTTGGCAAGATAACTTGACTCTGAGCCTCATTTTGCCTCAATACTGCCTCCTAGAGTTGAGAGGAGTAAGTGGGATTGTGTGTGTAAAGTGCCTGGCCCAGAATAAATGCTTAAAAAACAATTCTGAACAAAGCTGGAGGAGTTGGGTGAGGAGACAGATTTTGTGGTTTTGCTTGAACCACACTCAATTTTAGGTGGGCAGTTTGCTGAGTCACATCACCCAAATCCTTTACTTTCTCTGTTTCTCATTCCCTGCCCTCCCTAAAGGGCAAATAGAGTTAAGACAGCATAAGTCCCTAGGGCGTAGGAAGCAGGTGCTCACAGGAAAAGAACTGCTGTCTCAGCCTGCCTGTTTGCTACCCGTTCTTCCCCAGGATGCACTGCGCAACTCGGGTGGCGATGGGCTGGGGCAGATGTCCTTGGAGTTCTACCAGAAAAAGAAGTCTCGCTGGCCTTTCTCAGACGAGTGCATCCCCTGGGAAGTGTGGACAGTCAAGGTGCATGTGGTAGCCCTGGCCACAGAGCAGGAGCGGCAGATCTGCCGGGAGAAGGTGGGTGAGAAGCTCTGTGAGAAGATCATCAACATCGTGGAGGTGATGAATCGGCATGAGTACCTGCCCAAGATGCCCACGCAGTCCGAGGTGGACAACGTGTTTGACACTGGCTTGCGGGACGTGCAGCCCTACCTCTACAAGATCTCCTTCCAGATCACTGATGCCCTGGGCACCTCAGTCACCACCACCATGCGCAGGCTCCTCAAGGACACCCTTGCTCTCTAGGCTGTGCTGGGTGCCTCGGGTGCTCCTTGATGGCTTGCAGACCTTGGCTTCTGGGGCTTGTACTGTTAGCCCCTTGGGGCTCTGGAACCTGCTCTGGGTCCTTGGTAAGACTTGGAAGGGCCATTCCCTGGCTTGCTTGATGGGTGGCTGCCAGCGTCTGGTCAGCTTCGTAACCTTCTCCGACGGTCAAGTCACCACCTCTCCGGAGGGCCCCCTCCTTGTCCACTGTACAGAAGTGCCATCACTAGGATGGTGAATAAAGTTGAGAATGTGCATTGGGGTTGAGCCATCTCTCCCTCGCTTTGTGTTCTGCCCTGAAACATTAACACTTTCTGTCAGACTTGTGAGGACACGTGTGTGTTGAGGGCATTATTCCAAGATGGGGGCAATGGGTGGATAGGGCTGCAGATGGATTAAAGCAGGCCAGTTTGGTACTTTGTTGGACATTCTCATAAAGTCACACCTACCTGGGTGTGACCATGGTCAGTCCCTTGAATGAGGACACAGATCAGGACCTATTGCTTTTATTTATTTAAATTTATTTTTTGATTTTAGAGAGAGAAAGAAAGAAACATCAATTTGTTGTTCCACCTATTTATGCATTCTTTGGTTGATTTTTACATGTGCCCTGACCAGGGATCAAAGTTGCAACCTTGAATTGGGACAGTGCTCTAACCAACTGAGCTACTGGCCAGGAGGATCTATTGCTTTTAGATAAGACAATGCTGTTTCTCACCTTCCCCAGGGAAGTGTAATTCCCTGGCCTTTGTAATATGTGGTCTTTGTTTGATGGTTCCGAAGAATATCTTCTCTGTCTTCATTGAGCATACACAGGCCCAACGTACACCAGAGAGCTCATTCGATTTGGGGTTGCTTTCTGGAGAGAGATGGGCCAGCTTGAGATGTGTCTGGGGACACTTCCTCCAGGTTGGGCTGGCCCTGGCTGGTTGTTAGAACATTGATTGCTTTGGTAACTCAAACTTGCTTCAATACAAGCATACTCAAAATCAGTGCACTCCATTGTGTGCTATTTATTGATTATTCCATATTTTACAATGCTTTTTGGCTACATCTGGGCCAGTTTTAACAGACTTAACAGTGAACTGTGTGTAGGGAGGGAGGCTAAGGGAGAGAGGGTCAGTGTGGGGGAGCGGTCCTGTCCATGGTCCTGGAGCAGGTAGGTAGTAGCCAATATTGCCAGAAAGTATTAGTACATTTTTCTCATTCCAAGCTGTTTTTGGCCATCATGAGAGGTTTTGTGATGTCATACCCTTGATCTCTAGGGAACTGGAGAAGTCAGGAGGTTCTCCGGGGTTTGGAGGTGGGGATCCCACTTGGCCTGCTGCAGTGGAGGGCCTTTTCCTCCTATCTGGCCTTCAGCTAATCTCTTCTGAGGGGTCGGATGACACAGGAGTTAGCTAACAGTGACTTTTAAAGAGCTCAAGGTTGCCTGGCCAGTGTGGCTCAGTGGTTGAGCGTCGACCCATGCACCCAGAGGTCACCAGTTCCATTCCTGGTGAGGGCACATGCCCAGGTCGTGGGCCCGATTCCCAGTGGGGGCCATGCAGGAGGCCGCCAATTGATGTTCTTTCCCACTGATGTTTCTATCTCTCCCTGTCTCTCTCAAATCAATAAAGGAAAAAAAAAAAAAGAGCTCAAGGTTGCTACAGGAGTTTTTAGGAGACCCGGGAAGGAGGGTCTTCCCTCCTTGGCTTGGCTGTGGGATACCCAGCTGGCAGCATGCTCCCTTTGGTGGACAGGACAGTAACATCTCCATCCCTTTTGGCATTGAGATTTCCCAAAGGTAGGGACTGATGTGCTGAAGGTCAGAACCCAAGCTTTGGTGACTTAAATTTGCTTTCCCATTGGTCTGTAACTGTCCTTGCCCTCGGGCTGAGCAAAGGAGCAGGGGTAGGCCTTAAAGTCCCCCTGTCCTGCCTCTCTCCCTGTGTGGGGCCAAGGAGGCACTGGCCGGCTTGTCCAGCCCCTGGAGGCTCCCAAAGGGGAGAAGGGATACTCATCACTCAGGTCTTAGAGGCTACTCATTTATCTCCTGTCCCCGTGGCCACCTGGGCCATCTGGCCATACTGAGGTTTGCTCAGGGGCAGAAAGCCCAGAAATGGGGATGGCCCTTGCTGGGTCTGTTTCCTGCTCAGCACCCCAGCCAGCACCTGGAATAGAGTCTGGAAGATCTTTTCAGGGTTCTGAGAAAGGCGCTATCTGATTTCCTTTGCTAAGGGGCAGGGAGAACCTTGGGGACAGGATTCTTGGGTTTTGCTGGTTGGGCGCATAGACCAGATACACACTCGTAGGTGTGTGTGCTTTTGGGACAAGAAGATAGATGACTCCTGGCCTGGAGGTCTGGGCCCTAGTCCACACTGGAGGAGCTCTCTCTAGGAAGGGCCTGAGCACTCTGCAAGGGGTGGGTTGGGAGACTGGGATCCGCCCCTTAGGGCCCTCCCAGATGCAGTCCGGGTTTGTCTGCTGACTGGGCTCCCACACATCTGTGGGTCCTGGGCACATCTGGGCAGCTGGCACCAAAGCATGAACGTCTCTCAGGCAGGCTCTGTGGCCAGAGCCGCTTGGCTGATCTGCTGCAACCAGTCTGGGGTGCAGCCGGAGCTCCCTGAAGGACCGCGCCTCACACAGGCAGCCCTGCTGGGCGTGCTGGCCCTGCTCGTGCTCTGTGGCGTCCTGTTCCTGGGAGGCGGCCTCCTCCTCCGTGCCCAGGGCCTGACTGCTCTGTTGGCCCACGAGTGGCAAGCGTCCCCGGAAGCTGAGTCTGGCAGCGACCACTCCTAGGTACCCCATAGGCACCCGGCTGAGGCTGCGGCTGTGCTGGTTGCGAGGGAGCTGCCGCGGGTGCTGCAGAGTGGAGGCTGGGCTCCTTCCTGAGGCCAGAGGCCGCACAGGTGAGGGGGGCAAAGGTGAGGGGGGCTGAGGGGGGACAGTCCCGTCAGCTCTTCAGCGCCTCTGGAAGTCCCCGGGGTGGTCTCCCTGTGCTGGGATCTGAGGAAAGGGGCTGCCCCTTCTCCCATCTATAATGCCTCCTGCAGTGGTGCCCCCACCTGTCTTTTTTCTAGAACAGGCAGTCACTGTAACTGGAAGAGGGAGAGGTAGGGCGGATGGAAGAGAAGGGCATTTGGAGGGGCTCCAATGTGCTTTGGAGACTTTCCTTCCTGTACCCCCTTTGCTCCAGCCCCAACTCTGTGGCCCCAGAGCTGCCGGTCCACTGGGAGCTGGAGGAGAGACAGCAGCTCAGACCACCTCGGCCTTGGCCTCTGCGTCCTCCTCTCCTAGAATCCTGGCCCTGGAGGGGTTTGGGTAAAGGGAGTAAGATTCCTCACTGTGACCTCCCTGTTGGGGCAGAGACGGGAGGGCAGAGCCGGGGGCCTGGGTGGCCTGGAGGAGGGGAGGTGTGTGGGGGCAGAGAGGCTTCCCCAGCCCCTGCTCAGGTGGGGGGTGGACAGAGGTGTCCCAGAGCAAGGAGCTCGTGGTGTGTTTGTGGGGCGGTGGGTGGCAAGTCGCTAACAGCTTGGGGGCCTCAGGAGCACTTTCTCCAGGAAGCTGGGGCTGACAGTTCCCAGCTGTGGGGGCTCCGTCTGGCGCTCCTGCCTCTGTCTCTCCGAGGACAGGAACCATCTGGAGGGAAGGGCCTGGGTGGCCTGGAGATACGGTAGTGGTCATTCCAGGCCAAGGCCACCTTGGGCAGAGCCATAGGGGCTGGGCCTTCACTGCCCCTCTCCTGTTCAGTGTCGCACCTGGGGCACCTGGTGGGATTCTGTGGGTGGGGCTGTCTGTTGGGGGCGCCTGGACCTCTCCGGCTGCCCTACTCCAGAGCCCCTCCCCGCCTGCAGAGGCAGGGGCCCAGCTTCCCTCCGAGAAGAGGGTTGGTGTATGCGGAGGGGCTGGGGAGGGCCAGGGGACAGTGGGCGGGGGCCACACAGCAGCCGAGGGTTTGGTGCGGAGCCCAGCAGCAGCGCCGCTCTGGCCCTGCTGAGCTGTGGGCGGCTCCCTCAGGACGAGGCCGGCGGGGCAGTGAGGGGGGTGTGTCTGCTCCCTGCACCAGAGGCAGGCTGGACGCTGGGGACACCCCAGCTCCCTGTGCTGTGTCCTGAGGGAGGGGTGCGAACGCCCTCCCTCTCGTATCCAGGTTCTTCCGCTCTGGAGGAAGCCCCATCCCTCCTGCTGCCTTTCTGCCCCCCCCCCCTTGCTCCTCGCTTCCCCAGCTGCGAGGGGGAGTCCATGTCCACTGTGAACCCTGCATTTTACGAATGGGGAAGTGCAGAGAGAAGAAAGTGATGTACCCAAGTGAATGACAGAACTGGAACTGGACCCTGGGGCCCCGATTTGGAGCTCAAGGGTGGGGCGGCATCAGAATGAGAAGTACCCCCTTGGGTTACTACTCCTCTTGCTCTGTCCCTGCTTCCCCATTTCCTACTACTCTGGGCTGCTGATGCAAAATATGGCCTCCTCTCCCTATCCCCCAAAGAAACCGGAACCCCACGCCCCCATGTCACTGCCTCCCTTCTGTCCTTACTTCCCCAGCGGCCTTGCTAGTTACCTTCTTGCTGCTGGGGACAGCCTCCTGGGTGCTGCGGCTCCCCAGCCAGCCGGGCTCCGCTTTCCGGTGGGAACCTCGGGGTGGGGGTGGCTCAGAGGGTCAGCCGGAATATACATCCGTGAAAAACCTGTGGTCAGAGCAGAGGGATCAGAAGTGAGGATAGTGACTTTGGATTGGCCTCTGGGTTCACGTCTGGGCAGTTTTAGGGGCACAGAAAGATTCGGCAGCGGGCAGGGCTACGCCCCAGCATCACCATGTCTGCTGACACCCAGGCAGGGCTGAGGGGAGGAGGAGAGGGGTAGGCGAAGGCTTTCTTCATCCAGCTCTTTGCCTTTGCTGTTGCTTCAGCTTGAGGCTTGGAAAGCTGGGGTGAGTCATGAGCTGGGGACCTCAATGTTCCTGGGGGAAGATACTGAGATGTTTGCTATGGAACCCTGACCCTGGTCAAGGCTGTTAGACTGAGTGGGAAAGGAAAGAATTTAGAAAATTGGGAAATGGGCCCTGGCTGGTTTGGCTCAGCGGTGAGAGCATCGGCCTGTGGACCAGAGCGTCCCCGGTTCGGTTCCCCCTAAGGGCATGAACCTCGGTTGCAGTTTGTCCCCGGCCCTGGTTGGGGTCGTGTGGGTGGCAACCACTCGATGTGTCTCTCTCACATCAATATTTCTCTCTCTTCCTCCCCCTCTCCCTCTCACTCTATCTGAAGGTAAATGCAAAAATGTCCTCAGGTGAGGATTTAAAAGAAAATTGGGTAATGGGTGCTGCTGTCACCCCATGTCTCAGGCTCCAGCTAGGAGTGAGATGGGTGGGTGCTGGTCTAGGTGTCGTGGCATGAGGCTGGACATCTGGGTCCCTGGCAAGCTGTCAGTCGGCACTGCCCCTTGAGGAAAGACTGGGCAGCAGATGGGTAGAGATTGTGCCTTAACTTCCCTCCAGACGCTGAGTTTCACCCTGAGCTGGAAGAGGCTGTTGGGGTTTATCCAGTCCATTCTTTGGCTTCCCCATAGCACAGCTCCCTTTCCAGCAAAGATGGGGGTGCTGTCTCTTCCAGATTCCTGAGCCTGGCCTGTTCTCCAGAGTGCTCCCTCCAGCCTGCTGGAGCCCTGCTGTGTTTGCTCCATGGAGAAACCTGGATTGGGTGACACCTCCACCGAAGATCCTTGCACGCGACCTCCTGACGTCCTCATGGGTGTGGGGCTGCAAGGTCAGCATTTCGAGAAGGAAAGCCCTGGCGGCTGCTGCATGTCCTGGGCCCTAAAGAGGCCACACGCCCCGGGCGCTCTGCAGCAGATGCTGGCTGTGCCCTGCCTGCCAGGCCCCGGAGCACATGAGCATGTCCTGCCTCTGGGTGGGGTGGCCATGAGCCGGCAGGCCAGTGCCTATTCTTGCTGAGAGCTGTGTCAGTGTCACCCACATGGAAGTCTTGGGTGCCCCAGCAATGACCCATCAGCTCCTGTGGCTTGTTATTAAACATGCTGGTAATACAAGTTTGGGGTATACAGTCTATGTTTCCAGCTCTTGACTCTCGGCATCAGTGGTACCCCTGTCCCCCCTTCCAGTTTGAACTGTTTCTGAACTAGCAGCCCCAGCCAGGGCCCTCTCCCCAGGTCTCTCTCCAGAGGTGGCTTCTCCAGTCTCAGGTGCAAATCTTCCTAAGGGCATGAGGCAGACAGCAGCTCTCACCCAGTGCTCCGCTGCCCCTCTGTGGCCAGTGTGGGCAAGAACTCTAATTTATTCCACCTGGTACACTGGGGCCTGATCAGAGTCCAGTCCCAGCTGGTGCGTCAGAGTGAGCGTGGGTTCTGTGACTGCTCAGTGAATTCTAGATCGTAAACCTCCCTGAACCTCACTCTCTTCATTGATAAGATGAAGGCAACAGTGTCCTCGTGAGGATCAGACAGGCATTGTGCTTGTCTGGAGATGACAGGCTTTCTACACTGCAATGATCATATAATGTTATAATTCCCCCCAACCTGACCATCTCCAGAGCTGTGGAGAGTTTTTGGGACTGCTTCCTTTATTTATCTTTTCCATGAGTGTTTACCGAGGGGCAGCGCTGTGCCAGGCGCGCTCTGGGGTGGGGGACGAGGGGGTGAATGAGACTGAGTGCCCATGCCTGAGGGACTCCCAGCCCAGTAAAGAGCATTGCTCACAAAACTAAAGTTAGCATAGATGATAAATGCTAATGTTGACAATCTGAGGGCACAGAGTGACCGGCTTGCAGAGGAAGTGGCATACTGAGTGGGTGGGTATTCATGGGGCAAAGAAGGGAAGGAAGAATATTCTGGGCAGAGGCCAGGGTGCCTAGAAGCAGGGTAGTTAGAGTGGGGTGCAAAGGGATGTGAGGTCAGAGGGGTGGCAGCCTGGGGAGGGGTGGAGTTTACTGCGGGGAGCAGCGAGGTCTCCAGATGGTGCCGTGGTAAGACCTGGATCTCAGGGAGTTAGGGTTCAGTTTGTGGGTGGGAGCAGGCTGGAGGCAGAGACAGCAAGAAGGCTATGGTCAAAAGCTAGCAAACATGATGGCGGCCAGGACTAGGTTGGAAAGGAAGGGGACAGATCCGAGCGATGTTTGAGATGCAGGCTTTGGTCACTGTTGGATGTGAGGGATGGGGGAGAGGGAGGAGGGAGGAAGATGCCCTAGTTCCTGGGACTAACGGAGGGGTGCTGATGCCTGCCAGACACTGAGGGGATGTGTTGCCAATTAGGACTTTTTGGTCTGACTTTATAACAGACGCACAATGGCATGAGCAGAAGGGAGTATCGGCTCACGTAGCTGGAAAGCTCAGGCTGCCTGAGTCAGGCCTCGGAGAAGGAGGCAGGGCCTCACTCCCTCGCGTGGCTTCATCCGTTCGCCCCATCAGCCTCCTGCGGGCGGGCCGTGTTGTGGTCAGCGGAGGGCGGAGGGCGTGGAACCCACTGCCGCAAGGATGCTGGCACCGCGTTCCTGCTGTGCAGCCGAGCGAGTGCGTCCCTCCGTGGCCCCGCCCCTCCTCTCCAGGCGGGGACAGCAGGGCTGGCTGGTGCATTTTCTTTTGGGATGAAATGCGCTTCGCACATGGAGTGTGTGTGCTGTTTGTCCCACGTGGGGCAGGATGTGGGCTCTGTGGCCTCTCCAGTTCAAGTCTACCAGGAACGCGGAGGGTCATTCCAGGTCCACTCAGGCCAGACCCCAGGATCAGCTGTGACTGGGCCTGTTGGACTCGGTGCTCACCCTGAATACTGAGCTGTAAGCATGGCAAGT